GCCTTGAGCTGAAGAGCTGAGGGACAGCACTCAGGCCCAGAGTTCAAGCCCCATAAAACAAAAAAAAAAAAAAAAGGTAGGAACTAAAAGAAAACACATATCTCTCAGATATTACAGAATAGTCAATACCAAACATAAAACACATTTTCAAAAATTGTTTTGACAGTGTTTTTTTGTTTTGTTTTTGTCGGTCATGGAGCTTGAACTCTGGGCCTGGGTGTTGTCCCTGAGCTCTTCTACTCAAGGCCAGCACTCTACCACTTGAGCCACAGCTCCACTTCCTTGACAGTGTTATTTAAATATAACTTCGTTGTTATTATTATGCTGTTGTGCAGAGGGGTTACCCTTTCATAAGTCAGGTAATGAGTATGTTTCTTTAGTTGGACAATGCCACCCCTTCCTTCACTTTCCTTTAGTTCCCCCTCCCATCCCTGCCCACAGTTACATAGGTCATTTTCCACATGTGTATACAGAATAGAATGATTGCATTTGGTCACCCTCCCTCCCTTTCTGTTTTGACCCGCAGATGAACACTTCTAGCTGCACTGTAATATTACTCGAATCTGAGTTCTGATATAGAAATTATAAGGTGTAGAATGAGGAGAAGAGTTTCCTTTTCTATTTCTGAATGTGAAGCTTCTTCGGGTAACATTTAGTAAGAGATGAAGTTTGCATGTAGAGTGGGTATCCTCATAGAGGAGCTTGCCACCTTCCGGCTGCCCTGAGATATCACTGTAGGATAACACAAAATATTCACAGCTCTGAACTGGGGTCAGAAGGCCTTGGTTGGTAGACCAGCTGTGCTGTCACTGCAGTGCTGTCTGACAGAACTTCCGATGGCAAGTTTTACCTGTTGTATTGTTCCATCTGATAGTCACTAGCCCCATGTGCTTTTTGAAACTTCAGCTACGCTGATGATGCAGGGAATTACTTTTAAATTGTTTCACTGAAATTAATTTAAATTTAAATAGGCATGTGACGACTGGCAACATATAGTGCCGATGGCGACACACAATGTAGTGAATTATAACTATTGCTTTGTAAAGTGATATGGAAGTTTGTACCTCTTAAAATTTGTTTGAGAAGATTAAGAGGATAAAAGTTCAAGGGCAGTCCAGGCCAAAAAAAAGCCAGGTAGAGTGCATTCCCACGGCTTCAGCTAATGGAAGGTATAGGTAGGGTATGTAGGTAGGAGGATTGGGGTCAAAGGCAGGCCCTGGCCCTGTGAGACTTTATCCAAAAAGTAACTAGAGTAAAAATAAGTATCTGGGGTTGTGGCTTAAGTGGGGGAACACTTGCCAGCAAGTATGAGGCCCTCGGTTCAAACTGCCAAAGAAATTATTTGAAATTGAGGCTTTTTGTTGTTGTTGTCAGTTGTGGGGCCTGAACTCTGGACCTGGGCGCTGTCCCTCAGCTCTTCAGCTCAAGGCAAGCACTCTACCACTTGAGCCACAGCGTCACTTCCAGTTTTCTGATGGTTAATTGGAGATAAGAGTCTCACAGGCTTTTTCTGCCTGGGCTGGCTTTGAACCGTGATCCTCAGATCTCAACCTCTGGAGTAGTTAGGATTACAGGTGTGAGCTACTAGTGCCCCGTATAGGCATATTTAAATAAAACTTTTACACCAATTCTCTTTCCTTAGTAAGGGTTAGCAGTTTGGATATATTGTTGCATAATATACTGCATATCTGTGTGAATATATTTTCATGAGGTATATGTATTTATAATGTAAATATAATTATATCTTCTCTTTTATAACCTCTGTTCTCTTTTTAAAAAAAATTTTATTGTGAAAATACTGTATAGAGGGGTTACAATTACATGGGCAAGATAATGAGTACATTTCTTATCAAGCATTGTAGCCTCCTCCTTTGTTTTCCCTTCCCATTCCATCCTCCCCCCACCCCACCCCCAACCTCTATTCTCTTAATGTGTTGTTGTAATTGTTTGTTCCTTGGGAGTAACCCAAAATTCATATCATTTTGTAGGTGTACCATAACTTACCTAACCAATTATTTATTACTTTGGTTTTCTTTTGCTTTAACATGTATCTAATATCTTTGATTACTTTTCATGTATTTTCTTAGGCTGAATTCTTAGAAATGAACTTGGCAATTTCCTAGAAATGGATCAAGACTACAGGTTTAGAAGTTAGATATGTTTTGCCATTTACTCTCTAGAAAATTTGTACCTATTAAAATTGCACCAAGAGTACCATTTCTGTTTTATTGTTAGCACTGAGCATTGCTAGTTTTGGAAATAAAGGCCAAAATAAAAATTGGAAGCATATCTTTAAACACAAATTATTTGGATCAGATCCATATGTATTGGCAGAACTAATAACTTCATTTGTATGTTCTTTAGTGACAAGAATCATAATTTCCTATGTATGCAACATGGAGGAAAAGTCCCTTTGACTAAGACTATATAACCAGAATACCGAATTGATTTTTTTTCTATTCAAGCATAAAAAGCTGAAATTTGGGCTTCTTATGAAAAAATTATGTTTCTCTAAAGCTGAAAATTCAGGGTGTGTATATACATATACACACATATACCTATCTATTACACTAGGCTTTAAACGTACTTTAAGGAATTTTCAAGAATTTCAGTCATCTTAAGGGTTATTTGGTTTTTCATCCTGTGTGATGATATATGTATATGTTTGTGTTTGAACATGTGTTTGTATTTATATGGATATGTGACTATATCTATATAGATATGCATACATGCATATGCATAAAATGTGCATATATATGCTAATACTTTGGTGTACTAAAATGATCATTTCCTCTCCCTGTCTTTCCAAATAGATAATTCCTATATGGATAAAGATGAGTGTGGTTCATCCTCTGAAAGTGAAGATGAAGCACTGGGTAAATATCAAGAGGCCTTATCCAGAACGCACAATTCTAGACTGCCACTGGTTGACTCTAGACAGACAAACTATGGCTGGGAAACAAGGCAAAAATACAGTCCTTTATCGGCAGAGTATGATGGATACAGCAGTGAAGCATCAATAGATGAAGGTAAGCCAGCTTATTTTTTAATGACCATGATCAGATTATTTGAATCTCAAATCTAAGCATCTTTGGTTGAACAGTAAACAAGAGAGCATATGCAGTCAGTGAAGCCACATGTCTGGGAAGATAAATTCATTCAAAGTCAAAGTTTGGGTTGAAGCCAAAAATCAAAACTAGTTCCAAAACACTGAATGATTTAAATAATGTCATAATTGTAGCTCCTATTCCACAAGTGATATGTGAGCAATGTAAGCGAGTACAGAAAAAAAGCCGAGAACAGCAAAAAGCTTGAGCAGAAAAGATGAGTTCATTACAGGGTGAAAGATAAAGCTTCTGGGGCAGATGGACGGGAGCCAGAGCTGGTTTCCCAGTCTCACTGCCGTGGACTCTCACTTCATCCCCTGGGGATGATCTGGGTTCTGGGGGAAGCCTTGGTGCTTCACCTTTCCCAAGAAGGCCAGGAGCATGTCAGCTGGCTCCTGGTCTGGTGGGGGAACAAATAAGCTTTCAGAAATGAAGAGCCTTTGAACCCCTGGGGGAGGGAGCAGCACAATTGTCCTAAGATGATAATCCCACAGCTAGCTAGCTCACTGTCGAGGCTGCTGCATACAGGAGGTGACAGATGAGAAGCTGCTGTTCTCTCAGATGACATCAATCCCCAGATACCTTGTTAGGAGCTGATAGGGACTAAGGGTCACATTGTTGAAATCCAATATGTAAATGTATACGTCTTCATTCAATGTGGCCCCTAAATAACAGCCAAAGGCTTCACATGGCACACAGTGAAAGACAGAATTCTATTCTTTGTGTGAGAGAAATACTGTCCGAGGTAGGTTTATTGAGAACTGTGTTTCAAAAACAGTTTATTGGATTATCAAGGATTTCAATAATTCTAAGGATAATTCCATCTCTAATAGGTTTCCCTTTCTTTGCTGACATGGACTTTAGAACAAAACTTACATGGGAGGTACAAGTCCAGGTACATGTCCACATTTGTTTTTACATATTTCTGTAGTAGATATAAAAGGTTTACCACTAAAGCATATTTATTCCTACATTTAAGTACATTTCTCACTCAATAAAATGACATAACAATTATCTTTATACCATATATAAAAAGGACAATATATCACTTTTTATTATGTAAAATACCAACTATCCTTGATTTTATAGCTATGATTTGTGTTTTAGTGTCTATTACTATTGATGAATTAAAGTTTTACCCAGTATATAAGTTGTCAGTGGGCAAAATATCTATTTTTGTGTTTGGCTTCATACTAAAGATGATGCACTTTGTAAGATAAGAGAAACCTGATAGGGTTTTCATGAATACCAAATGGTATATGTAGTACAATTTTTAGAGGGTATTTGGCACCTACTAGGTAAGTGCAATCCAGTTGAAGATGAGACTAGTGAAAAGTGGGGTGATGATATTGAGCAGGTAATGAGCAGGTATGTGAGTCCTCAGTGTGAGATTGGTAACCATAGCTACAGATAGAGTTTAGGCATTGTCCCCATATGCACTCCTTTCTCCCTCCTTATGCTGTGTCCCTCTACTGTCTTGATTGTTCTTTCCCTGTAGTCTTGTTATTCTAGCACAGCCTAATAGTCTATAGGGAGAAAAGTGAGGAGGGAAGTATAATCTCTGTGGCTCTTCTGTTCTTGCCCTCACCTTTGCAACTGGTATGGGTATGAGAGTCAACTTCTCATTTTGTTCAACACACATGTTTAAGGCCTATCCTGAACTTTTCTATACATATCTGCCCTAAATTACTGGAGTAGATTGATTTCAGAGTAGATTGATTTCAGACATTCTCAAATTAGCTTTATATTAAACCTGCCTTATTCACAGGGTTATTATTACATGGCGTTTTGACCAACTGCTGGCAAAAATCAATCCATTAATGAATAAATCAAAAGAAATTGGGTTCTGTTTTTTAGCCAGTGGGAACGTACTGAAGGGTTTTTCAGCTAGAAATCATGAGCAGGGTGTGCTGTAGAAAGATGAATTTAGCATCAGGAGAATTATTGGAAAGGATATCAGTGATATCTTTGGAATAGTCTGTGAAAAATGATTTTTAAAAATGGAATTATAGTAGTGCCAATAGGAATATGTGAGGACAGGAGAGATAATGCTGGATTTGGGAACTGAATATGTTTTGAACATTAGAAAAATAGGAAAATCAAAGAAAGCACAGGTTTCCATCATGTACATGCAGGAGAATGTTGGAGTCAATCATATAAACATGAAATCTAGAGAGAATTTCTGGTTTTTTTTGTTATTGTTGTTGCTGTTGTTGGAAGTGGAGAGATGTTATACTTCATTTCTTACATGTGATAAAAATAGGATATTTAAGCATTTGGAAATGGTTATTGAACATGCAATCTTAAATAGGGTCAGGGAGAGAAGTTTTCAAATTACATGTACTTAGAGATAGAGAAGTGATAGTAGATTACATTGATAAAGATTGTCTATAGAGGAAATATTACATAAAGAGAAGAGATGACAAAAGAGATGGTAAAAGAAGACAATTAGACTTGTATTTTATTATCCACGAAAGGAGAATTTTAGGAGGGTATAGATATTAATGATTATGAGAATGCAGATGAACCCCTTTTTCCAATAAAGGTGAATCAATACCTTTAATTTGAAGTTCTAGCGAAATAGAGTAGTGAAGAAGCCAGATAAGTGTTATTAAGGGGAAAGTATATGTAAGATAATACCTTTTTTTTTCCTGTTTGTCATGGGGCTTGAGCTTAGGGAGTAGACGCTGTCCCTGAGCTTTTTTTGTTCAAGGCTAGCACTCTACCATTTTGAGCCACTATAAACTTCCATTTTTCTGGGGGTTAATTGGAGATAAGCATCTCATGGACTTTCCTGTCCGGCTGGCTTCCAATCTTGATTGTCAGATCTCAGCCTCCTGAGCAGCTAGGAAGTGAGCTAAAACTGTGGCTCTTCTGTTCTTGCCCTCACCTTTGCAACTGGTATGGGTATGAAAGCCAGCTTCTCATTTTGTTCAACATACATGTTTAAGGCCTATCCTGAACTTTTCTGTACATACCTGCCCTAAACTATTGGATAAACCACCAGAGTACATTGATTTCAGACATTCTCAAATTAGTTTTATATTAAACCTGCCTTATTCACAGCGTTATTATTACATGGAGTTTTGACCAACTGCTGGCAAAAATCAATCCATTAATGAATAAATCAAAAGAAATTAAGCACAACAGTCAGCTGCCAGCACGCAGCTCCTGCCGTATTTTGTTACCATGCCATATTTTGTTACCAAAGAAGTAAGTTGAAGGAATTTGTAAACCTGACAATCTACTTTCTTCTTCCCACCTACCAATAGTTATACTCCTCTGCATGTATGTAGGAAGGAGGAGAATTTATTTCCGATACACATTTGTACCAGCTGGTTGCACACCTGTGTAACTAGCCCTACATCAACACTTCACAGCATGAACTTCGACTATGTACTAAGAACTACCATAGACTAAGATCCTAATGTGTTCCTGATGTTTAGTTTCTTTGCACATTGTCACTACAATTCATTGTGGTAGGTGAGATTATCCCTCATTTTGCAGAAATAAAGACAGACCTTTGAATCAGTTAAGTTACTCCAAATTGTACTTTTCAGGTTCACTACAAAACTAACATTATTAGGTTCGGGCTACTCTACTGTCTTCCTAAGTTTATTTCATACAATGTGTTGCTTCCACTGGATGTTGTATTGCTACAAACATAGAAAACAAGTATTCTAGGAAAAAAGAAAAAAAGGGAGGGTGACATATTTGTTAATCATGTTTTCTCCTCTAGGTGGCCATATTAATCTTTTAGTTTATTTAAAAAATACAAAAAGTGTTATGTTTAAGAACTTTTTAGGAGAACTCATCATTAAAATGATGGTTATTTTAAGGAAATTTTTGAATACATTTTGCTCACAGTTTTATTTTTACCATGTCACTATAACCTGTCTTATTTTTAAAAAAACAATATCAATTATGATTTGTAGATAATCTTAAGTTGGTAAGCTAGACCAACCATTCTGGTTAGTTAATACTTTCCATTTTTACATTAGATGGAGAATCCTAATTAAGATCTTCATATGAAGATTGAATTTAGTCTTAAATTATTACAGCATCTTTTTATTATGTAGGGCTTTTCATTCTTAGTTTACAGAGATTGCAAAGCTATATTGTGTGTTATGCAAAGCTACATTATTAAAATTGTAAGATGTTATTTGGGGATCAAACACTATTAAGAATAATTTCCAGCCTCTCCTCTATCTTAAGGTATATAGACTACATATAGACTACATATATACAATGTATGCATTGATTTTCCCCTTATGGCTACACCAGAAGTCTCATACATTGATTTTTATGTTATCTTAAAATTAGGGCCACGAAAGCATAGTTCTCTGTTCCTGTAACACCTTATTTTTATTTTTATTAAAAATAGTTTTTTGGCTGGTCCTGAGGCTTGCACTCTGTGCTTGGGCTCTGTCCCCGAGCTTCTTTTGCTCAAGGGTAGCATTCTGCTCCTTGAGCCATAGTGCCACTTCTGGCTTTTTCTGAGTAGTTTATTGGAGATAAGAGTTTCATGGACTTTCTTGCTTGTGCTGGCTTTGAACCATGATCCTCAGATCTCAGCCCCTTGAGTAGGTAGGATTACAGGTGTGAGCCACTGGTGCCTAGAAATGCTTTATTTAAAAAAATAATGTGGTATTTAAGATAAATTCTTTGTTTAGTTCTATTTATGTTTATTTGAGCTGTTTCATAAAGGTTGATTTCCACAATTTCTTTTCTTTTTAATGTCATGGGGCTTGAACTCACAGCCTGGGCTCTGTCCCAGAGCTCCTTTGCTCAGGGACAGTGCTGTGCCACCTTGAGCCACAGCTCCACTTCCTATTTTTGAGTAGTTAATTGGAGATAACAGTTTCATAGGGACTTTTTTGCCCAGGATGGCTTTGAATTGTGATAGTCAGATCTCAGCCTCC